CAATGAGTGGCCCCATCCCTCAATCACAAATGAGAGATGACAAAGAAGGGAGGGTTAATTCACTATGATGGGAGAATTTATATCTCTCGAGATCATAGATTATATGGTGAAATTATCACCATCTATTATGACTATGCTACTGCTGGACATTCTGGCATTGCCAAAACAAAGAAGCTAGTCCTACAGGAATATTGGTGGCCTAAAATAGGACAGAACATTACTACATACATCAAAGCATGTGAGGTTTGCCAATGTGGCAAATTATTGACACAGGCTCAAGCTGCACCACTTCATCTGAATGAGGTCCTGTCATCACCATGAATCCATATTTCGATCAACATAGTCACTGGATTACCAGATTGTAATGGCTATAATGTCATCTTAGTCATAGTTGATTGATTCTCAAAGGCAATCATTCTGATCACCTGCTTGACAGAATTGACTTCTGAAGGATGGACCAAAATCCTGCAAGACAAAGTCTATACAAAGTATGACATGCCACAGGTGGTTATCTCAGACTGAGGACCCTAATTTGTCTCCAAATTCTTGGATGATCTCTATTGACTTCTAAACATTAAATGGAATGCATCCACCATATATCACTCTCAAACTGATGGGCAAATGGAGCATGCAAACCAAGAAGTGGAAAAATATCTCTGCTTTTTCATTAACTACTGACAAGACAATTGGGTAGAGTGGCTCACACTAGCTGCCTTTCAACACAATAACCAAGTACACTTGGCAACAGGAAAAACACTGTTTTTTGTTAATCATGGACACCATCCTCACATTGCCCAGACCGAACAGCTCAAAACCACCACTCCTGCATCAACAGACTTTGTCATGACAATGGCAAAAATCCATGCAGAAACCAAAGCTGCCCTGGAAAAAGCTGCCACAACCATGAAATGCAACTACAATAAACATCAACAGGAGGCTCACATCTATAACATAAATGACAAAGTATGGTTAGATACCACCAACCTTCATTTGCCATGTCCTAAACACAAACTGGCAGACAAATGGACTGGCCCATTCTCAATACTCTCAAAGATCAGTGTGAGTGCATACAAACTCTAATTGCTGCCCACTTGAAAAATCCACAATATCTTTAATAAGACACTATTGATGCTGTATATCACCCCAGCATTTCCAAATCAAGAATGCCTACCACCTCCACCCCCAGATCTAATCAATGATGAAGAACATTATGAAATCAACCAAGTCCTGAACTATAAACTGCAGAAGATCAGGGCAAAAGAGAGGGAGACAATGACTACCATCGACTACTTAGTCAGCTGGAAGGGTTATGGTCCAGAATCAAATCAATGGGTCAATGAGAAACAAATAGATGTGGACAACAGCATATGTGACTATGAATTATCCCTTAATTAAGCTATCAGAACAATGGTCTTAAGGAGGGGATAATGTTATGATTTTCCCTACTTCTCCTCAAATTAACCCCTATTTATGCTTAGTCAAGGTGCTAAAATAAGCACTTAAGACCATGGGATAAGGCTTAGTCATCACAACTAGCTAAGTCTGTCATTGTCTTTTGATGCAATGATGTTGCTTGATGATGCACAATCAGTCTTTTATGTACAGTAATGATACTCCAGTACAAAGAGCACAAAGGACAGAGAGACACACAATAAGTAAGTAGTATTATTAGCCAGACATGTACAGTATTTAAGAAGCTTGCTCTCACTGGTAATTCTCAGCTTTGAGCTAAAGTTTATACATCCTCATTCTACTCTCAAGCAAATCACATAAAGCCTTGAAGTACAAAGGACCAATGAATAGTATATAAAAGTGGACTTTAATGGAAGGCTTGAATGCAAAGCCATGTTAGATTATCATGTGCTAGTTGGTCATGTGTGGCTTGAATCTAACACACTCTGACTAAGCATAAATAGGGGTTAAGTCAGAAAAGAAATGAAAAAAATCATAACAGCAAGTCAGTGACCAAGTCTATAGTGACATCTGAAGATCTGCAACAGTAGAAACCAATCAGCACAAGAAATATTAAGTCTCATTCATCAACAATGCATCAAGATACTGAGTGATTATGTTGCTTCATGCAAAGGATGAGATATTGCAGTCCTTTAAAGATCTTAATGCAAGATAAGAGAAGAAGTATGGAATAAAGATAAAAATCTTGCATTTGGATGGCAGAAGAGAGTACAAGAGTCATAAATTTGATAATTACATCACAGAGAAGGGCAGACAGCATTGCTTCACAGTTCACAATACCTCTGAGCACAATGGAGTCACTGAGAGATTCAATTGCATGCTTCTTGAGAAGTCCATGCAATATTACATTCCACTGGATTGCTGATGAATCTATGGGGAGAAGCATTAAAGCATGCAGTATGGTTAAAGAACTATATCTCATGAAAGGCTGTAGGAGGTCACACACTATATAAGGTGTTCTATAGGAGAAAGTCAGACCTACACCAGATACACAAATGGGAATGTAAAGTTTGGATCCATGCAGAGAACAAGTTAAAGGTTGAGGAATGAGCATGCAAAGGAAGATGGGTCAGGTTTGATCAGAATAGCAATGGGCACTGAATATATTATCCAGATAATCAATCTATACACACTGAAAGGAGCATCAGGTTTCCAAAAGTCTGCAGGAGAGAAGATGGAATCTACAGAATGCTGAATAAGAGAAAGAGAGCAGAGATCAGACTTGAAAAACAGGCTGAAAACATTCAGCATATACTATCAAGTAAGCCAACATGTCTAAAGACATCATCTCTACTAAGCTCAACATTAACCACACCATTGTCAACACCTCCATCCAGCCCACTGCCTACTCCAGCACCAAATCAAGGGCAGAATGTTACACCCACTGCACTGCATAATATATCTAGCAAAATCAATGTGAAAAACATCATTGAAAGCAAGCAGATGAGGCACAAAGCTTGTCTTGCTGAAGCTGAGGACACTGACAAGTCATAAATCAGAGAGTACATATATGCCATCATAGCTGACATGCCAGATGAGCCAATGGTTGAAGAGGCAATAAAGAGAGAGGATTAGCTACTATATAAGTAGGCTATAGATGTTGAGATGGAAGCAATGAGAAGGATAGATACATTTAGCAATAAACCCATGCCAAAACCATATGGATGCAATATCATCAGATCAAAATGGACTCTACTGATAAAGCAAAAGGCTAACAGAGAGATTGACATGTACAAGGCACATCTTGTTGCATACAGATTTTCTCAAGTCCAAAGCATAGACTATTTCAAGACATTCTCTCCCACTACTAAACTGCTCTCACCTCATTCCATTCACTCTATTGCAGCATCCTGTGATTGGGATATCAAGGTTTTTGATTACTCTGAAGACTTGGTCAACTGAACCACCCAAGTCAAGGCCAAACATAGATCACATTTGAAATGAAGAAGAGAAAAAGAAGTGCATCCACAATTGTGCCAGAAGTAACAGCAATACTGAAAGCCTGAGACCTCACTGGAGATACTGATGATGATACTCTGGTGTGAATGAGTGTTATCTGAGGTGATTGTGGAAGTGATAGATGATAGCAGGTCTGTTGGAATCTGCAAGAGAATTCAAGCAATCCAGCATTCCAGCATGCTGAGTAAGAAAAGAATCTGAGGGAAATTGAAGGAATTAGGTAGAAATTACTAGAAAAGGAGTAGTCTGGTATAAATATGAGAAGTCAATGGGGAAACTCCTCAGGAGTTTGTAACCCAAAGACTAAAGGTCTTACAAGCATGTACTCTGGATACAGTCCAAATATCAACAAGGTCCCTAGGGAAAACATCTCATTCATTATGCACATGGCTGAGCATTGATGTAGAAAGAGTTCCCATGCCACAGACATGTCGGACTGGTGAAATCCTGGAGGAAATAATTTTATTGAGAGTTCAACAGTATGTTTAGAGTTTGAGAGAGGAATACAGGACGATGCCCTAAAATCAAGCATCCACTTCACTGGTCACCTCTCTGGTGAACTTGGAGCACAGCATAATTTAGAAGCTGCATAGACACCGGAGAACATGGTGTATGCATGAACGGGCGCTGCATAGGTTTCCCCATGGAACATTTCAGAGACGCTTGTGATGGCGAATGTTGGTTTGGGAGCATTGAAGTACCTGTTGTTTGGCACATCCAAAAGAGCAGTTGTTGGTGCCCAAGCACTCAGGACTGAAGAACAAGACAGGACAAGTATATGGAAATCGTACAGTCTTGATGCAGAAGTGAAACCGAGAGAGGCGGTAGCATCAGGCTGCGAGCAATGGAGTTAGTTGTTGATAACAAACGATGCAGCAAGGACGTACCCTACAGGCCGTAGTAACAGAACATTCTTTTGAATAGTCGGAGGCCGGGAGAGGCTGTCGTTGGGCTGCGGTGACAGGTCGGTTAACTTGTGTCAGCTATTGTGGCTATTGAAGCAGACAGAAAGCCGTAGGGAAAGCGCAGCAGTCGTTATAAGTTTCGGGTACCGACCCCATAGTATTGTATTTGACACGAAAAAGCTGGAAATGTCAAAGAGAAGGGAACTCCCGACGACTATAAGTGAGTCAGAGGAACACTGGTGAGGAAGCAAAAGAAAGTCCAACACATGCCGTCGTCCTCTTGCTTCAGCACCTTGAAAACAGCACCACCGCCTTCGTTCGCCTTTTACCATTCGATTGCACCTCTATATATACAAAAAAACTATTATTTCTATTGCTGCGCGTGGGCTTTCAGTAACAAACATCTTAGACACTGATACACACTTCATGTCAAGGTAAATTCAAGATATCCCTCTTGACATCACCGTAACCATCTTTCCTTTCAAACGAGAGTAAGCGAGATAAGTAGAATACACGGGTGAAAGGCGCCAATACTATTGGATAAACTCGACGTTGTTGACGTGCATGGTAAAGATAAAGATCCAAAACAAAATCTAGAAAACTTCAACGAATCATTGACGAAAATATAGGATCGTTGCGCAAATACTCTCTGCCCACATAGTCCCACCTGACCATCATCTCTCCTCCTTTTTGTCCAAATTGACGTGAGTGAAGTGAGGAATGCCTCATACAGCGACGCGCATAGATACTGAGCTTGAGCAAGCCATCACCGATTTCCTGACGGCCCTCCAGAGGCCCGACGCGAAAGTCATCTCCGACAAAATCATGAAGTCGGACGAGATATTTCTCGATGGTGTTCAAGCATTCCATGGCGCCTCGACAAAACCTGTGGAGCGCATGGATGACGACCAAGGAAGCCGTTTCAGGATACTGAGAATAGGTTCAAGGCCGTATGGTCCTCGTAGCTCGGCAACGAGTGGCTCATCGATACTCGTGATAATTGCATCGAGAAGCGGGAAAACGTCCCTCACGAGTCGAGCGTTCAATCGCATCAAGTCGTACTTCTCAGCATAATAAGTTGGATGTGGAAACGTATCATGATGTAAGATATACGCGAAGCAATCTAGGAGAGCAACAGCCTCTGTCCAAGCCGTGAGGACTGGGGAAAGGAAATCGATAGTAACGTCACGGAGAGGTTTGAGGATCGAAAGTGTGGTTTCCTCCACCGAAGGAGCGCAGATGGCAGTTTGGGTTATCAGGTATTGTAGAGAATGAAAGAATGATGGCTCCATGTCGATGAGGGTCTTTAGTGCATTCTGCATAGAGGGTAAGCGGTCCTTAGAAGAAGTTCCCTTGGTATACATAATATTATCAGGACCTAGTAGGACACAAGAAGATTACGCCACCTCTGCGTCCTCCCACGATGCTAGGAAAGACATGGCGTCGTCAGTAGCAGCATCCTACTGAAGGTGAGTTTGAGAGACGACCATCAGACCGTCGCTTACCATGGAGCAGTAAATGTTCACGTCGAATTCGTCGCAATGACACGATCCTGCGTGGAGAAGGGTTGATAACACGGCTGCGAAAACGTGCTGGAAACGTTCTTGATTCTGATTTTGATATTTTGATATTTTGACCACGCAAAAGACTGACCCTTCCGAGTCGGACACTGCCACCTTTGCTTGCTGATGTCCTCGTTACATTCGCAAGTTTTTAATGTATAACCTCTTCTGGAAGGCCATGGTTTGCTGTACTGGACCGTATCAGAGATGGGTTCGTGCATATATAACCTCCACACCTTGTTGATGTCCTTCATACCACCGCCCGCTTTCCAGGATGGATACTACTGTTACTCTGGCACGTCCTGGCCGCGCTTCTACCTTAGACTTTGACCAGGTAGAGTGTGGATCTTTTACGTCTCTTTCTCCTGCTATTTCCGCTATTCCTTCTCCCTCCAAGTCCACCCCTGATAAGGGTCGTCGCGTCGATCCTAGCGTTTTCTATGAGCCGCCCGGCATGAACGACATCACATCCGGAATGACCTGAGATGTCCTGTTGCATCAATATTTACATCAAGAGAATCCCATTCCATGTTCCGCTTATTAGGATCTATCGTCCTCATTCGAAGAGATAATCAATATCTTTAAGAACACTGGGGGCACCTTCACCGGCGTGTGAGTTAGCCCATGAGATAAGCAAGAGAAAGCCACGATTTAAGAGTTCCGAAGAGACAGTGAGGGAAGAGCGGCCAGGACTGTTAAGATGAAAAGCAAAAGGGATGACGCCACTAAGCACAGGACTCTCGTGATATACGAGCGGGTGAAACTGTATGGAGGTTAACTGGAGGTAAACGAAAGGTCCTAAGCCTCCTACTTACGGAGAGATGAAAATATTCCAACAAGATGGGGACGAGACAAGATCAATCAACTCGACAGCTGTGGATGCAAACTTCTCCGCAGCGTGATACGAACCAGACTTGTCTTTACGATGGAGGATTCCCCACAGATATCCAGTGAAGAAGACGTTGATGATGGCGTCATCCTCGAGATTGGTGGGTATCCAATAGAAGTCGGCCCAGTGGGAATAAACGTAGTCGTTCGACATGTCGATGGGTATTTGCAGTAATGGCAGTGGCGGTAAGAAACAGAGCTGGAGTCAGATTGCCGAGTTTGGAAGTGCTTGAACATGTGTAGATAACCTTGCAAAGGCGAGGTAACTCAAGCAGATAGCATCACATGGCAGGATCAGATACGTACATAAAAATTCAGAACGCCTGATAACGCATGCATTGGAAGAGGAAAAACGTCGAAATTCAAAGAAAATGGGATGACTTGCACGGACGCCCTCTTTGACACTCGCTCCTGTAGATGACACGTAACTTACAGAATTTGTCGGGGACCATGTACCAGTACGCCCTCAATATCGGTATTCAATTTCTTCTATATTCCTCCTTGATCTCACTGCATACTGTAAGGAGAACCTTTCCGAGCTTCTGGAAATCCTCGACCTTCCGGAACATCAGTAAGGGGCATGACACCGCTCGATAAACGAAAAATACCTCATTCCAAACCTGGGCGCTACATCTCGCCCACCACATCCCATTATGATAACAATGAGTGGCGTACGCCTTGTGTTCGACCAGCAGCTTCTGTTTGAACATCAGATCTAATTCCACCGTCGGCTTCAGGTGACCAGGAAGCGGCATGACTACGTTGACCTGTGCGCCTCGCAATCAGTAGCAGCTTTAGACGAGAGGACCAAACGCACCATATGCGCAGTAAACTGGCCGTCTTCATCCATGACTTTCGTGTTCAAAACTTTCGCCAGAGCTTTACCCCCCTCGATTGCTAGCTTATGACAATACTCGTTGATCGCGCCTTCGCTGCCAAGCCACTTGCGGAAATCAAGCGCCGCAGAAATGCTGAAGTACGGCACCAAGTCAATGGTTCCATTCCCTAAGGCGGAATGAGAAAGAAATTAAGGCTGAACAAATGGGCCTTACATTCGAACTGTTCCACAAAGTTTAGTCCTGTACGGTCCTCGGGCGATATGTAGGTAGCCGACGTCGGAAAGCTCGACTTGACGATATGCTGGTTCCTATGCGGATGGTCGATCAGTGGATACAAATCAACAAATGTAAGATACGATGGCCCACCTTTTAGGAACGTACAATACCGCAACGCCCCTCTTTGCGAACAACCACTTGTGACAATTCTAGCGTATTTTCAGTCAGAAAGCTCCTCACTGTATACCACTACTTACGCTTATCCAGAAATCTGGTTTGACTTCGTCGAGTTTAATTCCGGACTGTTGTCCAATGGCATGTGCTGCATCTACAACGCTCCATACCTCGAATTCACGGCAGATATCTGCCATGTCCTCCCAAGGAAGAAGAGCTCCTGGGGTAGATATAATCGCGTCGATAACAGCAACTATTTTCGCATTCTTTCCGACGCGCTCTCGAACCGACCTTAAATGCTCCCTCCATCGAGAGATAATATCCTCCTTGGTCGTAGGAAAGAGGAGAGTGAACTGCGCAATCTCCGGATGGGGTGGGACGTCGGAAATATACTGCGCCGTTCGGGATACCGAGCCATATGTTGTATTGCCTAAGCGTTGATCAGTACCTGAGATGATGCTTCAAGGTAAATAAGAGATCTTACAGCTAACTATAACATCACCCGCTTCCCAGATAAAGTTCCTCAGGACCGTGTTAACCCCATGCGATGCGTTCGGGACTAATACCACCTCACTGACATCACTGACTCCGATAAAGCTAGCAACTTTTTCGCGTACGGCGACCAACATGGGCTGGTAGGTCAATCGCATGAACAGATCCGGATTCGTTTCGATCTTGTCAGATAGAGCATTGCACCAAGCACTAACCAGTCGAGGAAGAGATCCATAGGAGCCTTCACATATTGAGCATATCATTTTATCACGACGATCCAAAGGCTCACCATGATTCAAGTTGATGTATTCAGGATCAAAATGAAAATACTCCTTCATCGCATGCCCAAAGGCTGGCAGCTCAGCGGGGAGGACCAAAGACTCCAAAGATTCAGAGGAAGAAGAGGGATCCATTGTGAATCCAAGCTGTAAGAGGAAGAACAGGCGAGAAGCTTTGCCTTACACTGTAATAGCGAGGGGTAATATAGCTCTCTGAATGAGTCATGGAATTTTGAAATTTCAAGACATATCTTACTTTTTCGGCAGAATCCTTATCCGGTTAGTATTTGACACGCCGCGGCCAACGAGTCACACGTTCAATATTCAACTTCACATTTTGAATGTTTGAATAGTGTTGAAGTTGAACGTCGAGCGATAGAAGAGAACAAAGAAAGCAGGTCACGTGTAACCTGACGCATCGCGGGCCGACTGTGGGAAGCGAGCGGTTATGTAATATTCATTTTCTGGTATAGCCAAAGTGAATGTGCTGGAAGAAATTTAAGATGAAAGCATCCACTGTATCTGATATCTATGGCTCTTTCTTGGACTTCCCTGCACTATTGCTTATAGCAACCTAAAAAAATGCTGGAGAATTGATAAAACACTGTAGGAGATTCATACTGGCATGGGTGCTAGCACTTGTTACTATTTCTCTTTCTCAACTGTGGTGATCCCAAATTTCTATTATCTGTTCACTTTCATACTTATTTCATCTGCTATAGTAACTAGACCCTAACTTCAAGTATATATAAGACCTATCATACTTTTGTCTATGTGTTAGGAATGTGCCAATAGAGAAGGACTGAATGCATGCAGCAGGGGCTGCAGAGTGCATGGGCCTTGTCAAAGCTATTAGCAGTGTCACCCCTGGGTCAAAGCCCTAAGATGGATACTGACAGAGGTCCATGGAGTGAGAGACAAAGTTGGTCCTATAGAGTGAGAGATCTATGGACTGGAGACAATAGTTGACTTGAAGGTCAACAGAAGAGAGAGAGTTGGTTTGAGAGTGAAGTTATTGGGCTGAACCAAGTTGATATTCAAACTGTGGTATGTACAAGTAATTCTACAGCTTATATACTAGTACAGAGTCTGAGAAATTGGATTCTAGAGATCAAGTCTATGTCTGGACTATTGTAGCTAGAGGAGTCAGGATTCCAAAGACTCTGATATATATCTATTCACTATTGTGACAGAATCTAGGTGTGATAAATTAAAGAGATGAAATTAGTAGATGAAATATAGAATGGAATATGAAATAGAAACTGGGAAAGTGGAGTCCAATGGAGTCTGATCAAATGTGGAGTTTGGACAATGGAGGTTGGATTGGAATCAAAGGTCCATGGCATGCTTATTACACATTTCTTCTTTTTAGCAATTAGCAATTATACATGATTCAATTGCATTCAGATTCTCCAACATGCAGGAAGCTTAACTTGGCTAACTATAAGTACTCTTACACTAAGCTTGAATGATTAGTTAAGTTTAAAGAGGTTTATACAAGGTTAATCATTGAGTGAGTGCTCTATACATTGATAGAGACATATTCCACAGCTCACATATCTCTGCCTCATAGACTATAGATAGAATACATATTCTTTCTATTAGTAAGGTTGCAAGCAAGAGAACAAATTCATGAGTCCCATCTCTACACCATATGTCAGTAGTCCTTATCTTCCAGCTATAACAGGTCACAAGTGAAGTCATACTCTCTTCTCTAGTCACAAGAAGATTGAGTATAAGTAAGTTAAACTTGTGCCAGTCTCCAACTGCATACTTATTTGCCTTAACCTCCTAGGTTATAAGCAAGGTGGATTGCAACTCAATCCTGCAGATTGGTCATTATCTGGCAGACTGTGAGTGACAGAGGGATCTTATCCTCTCTGCCACATATTCTCACAGTTTCACCAGATATGCCACTTATCATTCTTGATTGTCTCATTTACTTACAGCCTCATTAGATGTAGTTGCTTGCTATCCACTCTGATATATTTATATTTGTTCTCTCCCATGGATATGGTAGCTACATTATTTGTATACTCTTCTTAGTGATCATATGCAATGCAATCACATTTGGGCTTCTCACACATTGGAGAGTCCAACTTGGCTAACTATAGGTGTCCTCATACTAAGCTCAAGACAATTAGTTTATTAATAGAGGATCTGTGATCAAATATGCCTGGTGATAGCATGCCAATATGAAAAAGTGGAGAGAAAGTTAGTGGAATGATGTTGAAGTTAGATTGAAATGACAATGGTTAATTTCATGAAATCCCATCTAAGAGATGGAGATGAAAAATTGTATTTTAAATCTGTGAATTCTGAGCATACAGAGCTTAAAAGCTCATCACCATATGACTTTGCTTCACAAACCAAAATCCCTGACACCTTTTGCTTTCCTCTCATCTCTCTTAACTTATCTTGTTTTTACTCTTGCTTGATGCCATCTTTTGACAATAGCTGGACTGTTTGCTCATTCAAAGAAGCATGTTTCATCTGAACAGGAGCATCCTGATGCTTAGAGCAGAAAAAGAGTACCTGCAACTCCTGCTAAATATCTGACTATTTATTCTAAAAATAATGCTGACCTTTTAGGAGATCTCAGAAGCCTTCTTTCTAGCATTGCAAGCCTCTCACCCAAAGTGAGGACAAGAGGCTTGAGGCCTATCTCAATCAATGAGCAGGGATTATTGTTCTTGCTCATGAAGGAGAAGTCCATCATATCAGATGACTTCAACTTTCCTGACAAGAATGGTGGTCATAATATTGTGAATGAGATGGTATTTATAAGTTATAAAACTGCACTGAATTTTGATCTACTGGATCTCAATGATTATTCTGTAGTACTCCATCTGATGATGTGAAGGGCTGGAAGACTATGAGGAAGACAAAGGATAGATATACCTCTTTTCCAGACCCTAGTTTAAAAATTACTAGGTCTACTACTAGTACTAGCATAAAAAATAGATTTGATGTCTTATCAGGCTCTGAGGATGACAACAGAATGGCCATTGATGATGCCATGAGGTACATGCATGACATACAATAAAAGAACTCTGAGAGGCAATTTTTGGAAATTGCCAGGCAAGACTGAGCTACTCAGAGGTAGTCCAAAAGAGAGACAATGCAATGAAGACTCTGGAGAGGTCTATATCACTTGATGGTCACAATGCTGTCCTCAAACAAAGGTTTGAGTGCATATATGCTGTTAATTGTTAACAGCTGACCTGTATATTTCTGCACATTTTAGAACACTACAGTCAGAGTAATGGCCAAGACAGGCTCTGCACCATCCCGGAAGGTCCGGTCCGATCGGGCCAATATGATCACTTTGAACCGAACTAGTGGTTTGCTTCTGACCACAAGAAGCTTGACTTGCCCTCCGCCTTGCTCCTTTTCCTTTGTCTCATATCATAAAGTCTGCGAAATGTTGCTCAACAGAAATTCTGTAGCCCCCTCAGGCCTCGAGAACGGTGACGGACAGAAGGAGATGATGCAATAATGCCCCAATTGTCTGCGCAGGCTACTTTCCAGCCGCAGGACTACCTTTTCCTGTTCTGTCTTCTGAAGTGGCGTGTCATTTCCTCCGGGGGTAGATGGAATCGAGGCTCAACATATCAGCTCCATCGATGACTCGATAAACAATACTAATACTGATATGAGGCATTCTGGACGTCTGATGGCGTGCCCGCTTATATATATGGAATTTGCACGGTTCGAATGGTGCGTGAAATGAAACATGATTCCGTGAGTTCGCTCATCTTTACTCTGCAGCGTACAATATTTCTCTCCGCTGGCGCTACAGAATCTTTCTGTGTGTAGAATGTACGAACCACTGCGTAATCTCCCCATTATATGGCCCGTGAATCTGACAGCTGAAATGCATAGCACAGCCATCAGCGCCATGTGCATGCGTCCGTATGAAATGCCGGAAAGAAGTTATCGCGTTTTACGTTTCACTAATTTGACCGTGCGACACCCATAGATACCGTGGTTATTTCTGGCTCCAACCCTCTTCTTCCAACGATATACCATTAGCCACGTCGCACAGCCATGGTGGCGGCACCAGCGCTGTCCTTCCCGGAACTCCCTGTAGATATTCACTTCGAGATACTATGGCATATGGATCTGCGTGAGGCGTTGCCATTACTTCATGTAGGCCATCTTGTACTCTCATTATGGGATAGTAGCTTATGAGGTCTTTCCTAGTCTTCCTCCGAGTTCTTCAACTCCCGGGAGCTGTGGAGTCATGTCCTTCACGCGACGCGCAAGATATTCCCCATAGCGTGTCCTCCTCGAGAAGATCTATCCTTGCTCAGTTGCAACACCCTCAGGAAGATCGCGTATCACGTCATTTTTCTATGGAAGAACTGGTCATTGCCTAGCCCCAAAGCACAATACTGGAGGGGGACGGAAACGAAGCATTACAAACCAACGAGCACGGACGAGTGTTTTCTTGCTATTATCCCAGGAACTCACCTTGTGGTAACGGGTTCCGCTGCAAAAGAGGTTATCAGTTGCTGGGATACCAAGATTGGGAGCTGCGTTGGAGTCATGAAGGATGTGGGGACACTGCACTCCGTATCGTATCCTTCTTACATCACGCCAGGCCGGATGGTGTTGGCATATGTGTCTTCCTATGACAGCATGTTGTGAGTTTCTCCTTTGGTTTTCCTGTTCTGAAATAATGAATGAAGAAACAGAACTGCATGTGCCACAGGAATCTGCGTGGATTACGCCGACCGAAGCTCGGTCAAATTTGAACAGACTTTCCGTACAGAAATAACCCTCGGGGAATCGTTTTCCCATTCGTACATTACCCTTGCCATCAATGATCGATACCTGGTCGCGCTGACGTGGCATACACAAAAGCTTCGCGCAGGCTTTGGAGTCAAGAGTCTTCATTCTATTGCTGAGAGCGGAATCATCCTTAACGCCGTCCCCGAGGCGTCATTGCCAGAACCCGCCATCAAAACTCACCTTGACAGCTACATCTCCGGCAATACACTCAACGTCATCAAGTACGCTCGGAACACGTACACCGTCTATGAGTATACGTTGTCGCCCGGCCTATCAGCCAGCGAGATATTCTTACGGGCACCGGTAGTGCAACCTCCTCTGCCGCCATTTACATCGAACATACATAACTGTCCTTTGACTGGACGGTCCGTATCACATACCTCCGTCCTCCCCGGCTACCGCGTTCGATACTCCTTCCAGTCTCCGCAGAACGAGCGAACAGAGTTCGAGTTCGAGTTCCCGCGGTGTGAGATGATGGAAGCAATTCCTGCTGCGTCGGGCAGACATGTGTTGGTCCATTACATGGACGGAACAGCGGGGAACCGTGTTAAGCTTTTGAGGCTTGCAGAGGATAAGAGCTGCTCGATACACGATCTTCATCTTCCTCTGGAGATTAATCTTGTAGATCGGCTCAATGAAGGACAGGGAATGGGCAGTTGGCACGGGAATAGGAGGGGAAGTATCGAGATTGATGAGAGCCTGGGTGTGGTGTACTTACTGATGGAAGGTGGGATTATCTGGGCCGTTGGATATTCTTGACGGGCTTCACTGTGAGTTTCTTTTGCGGCAGACGACCTTTAAATTTGAAACTGATGCTACATGTAGATTGAATAACGACTACAATGTAATTTTATGTCATAGAACCTTTGTAAGAGCAATCCTTTATTCTTTTGAATCCTCGGCCTGACACCTCGGGTATTACAGCGCATATACATCGCGTCTCTTCGTGAACATCGTTAGGAGAAGGATACTTTGCACGTGTTGCGGTCTTTGATCTTTTGACGTCAATTGAATGGTTAGTTGACCTATAACTGTGACTTCCCTCACAAGGGGCAAGCGAACTTGGCTTCCTAGTACGAACATTTCCTGAATCCTGCATTCTCGACTGGCTTGCCGCGGACTTTCGACGACTAGAACCAGATGAGATCTCCGTTCTTTAGAGGCGTCGCGAATCTCAGAGACGATTCTTTTACTCGGCACAAAGCCTGCCTCACGCCTCGATGCTCCAAGGCGAGATGTGTATATATAGCATACAAGATGAGCATCACTATCTGGCTAATACAGTTGACATCCTGCTCTCGCTCTTCTAGCTATGTCTTTCATTCGAGCTTCATTTACCGTCATCCAAGCCGTCGTGCACCAAGCTGCTCTGACTTGCCCAAACCCTACCCCCAAAAAAGGTCGCTACCACACGGAAGCGCATTTCATTCTCCAGGTAGCGCCTCTTATATTCTGGGTACGAAAACCTTCGTTCTTGCTCGGCTTCTTTTAACTTTCTCATAGATCCACTCGGTGGTGCTATGGGCTTTGGCTGCGTTCGAGACACTTGCCTACCTCTGTTCCTTAGTTCCAGCGAGTCCGCCCTATGTATCAACGCTCGTCTGTCCCGCCTCTACGCTACATTCACTCGAACACCCCCCGACCCCGCTTTTCCTCATCGGCTTCACCTCCATCCTCTGCGGAGCCCTCATACGCATTGACTGCTTCTACGCACTCGGCGAACTTTTCACGTTCGACCTGACAATCCACCCCGAGCACAGGCTCATCATGTCACGCTCTTACGCGCACGTACGCCACCCAGCGTACGCGGGGTCAATGCTGCTCGTGATGGGGATCAGCATTGCGCATTTCACGCGCGGGAGCTGGGCGGTGGAATGTGCATTTGGAACGGGGTGGGGAAGGGTGGTGATGTATCCGCTGTGGGGTTTATGGTGGTTGTGGACATTATCTGTGGGTATAAGCCGTGCCAAGGCGGAGGATCGGCAGATGAATGTGCTGTTTGGGGAGCAGTGGGTGAAGTACGCGGAAGAGGTTCAGTGGTGGTTCTTTCCTTGTTTGCTTTAGGTGGTTACCCTGGACGTCCGATGGACTAGGCGTATTTTTATGCGTGGTGAAGGACTACATAATGAGACTATATTCGAGCCTAGAAGTTACGCAGCGCAGGGACACTTGTGTGTTAACTATCATTACTTATATCAAGTGATTTTCAAGACAATGTCGAATAAATGAGGTACCTCCATCGAGAGTCTGTCAGCGAGCCAACAGGAGTAAATACGGAGTTGGTAATTAATACGTCCCAAGGACAGTGCTACAGAAGGAACCGCTGTAGACCAAGTCAACGAACATTTAACAACCTGTGAAGCATTGGTGGCTTAGTCTCTTAAGCAATCTGAGGATTACTTTCGGACCTAAAAGAAATTCCCCAACAATTCTCGATGACCGATATCTAACGGACTGAACATTATGGGTTCCAAGGGTACATAGTAGTTCCAATTCAATCAGCCAGATATGCTTCTATAGATGCGCCTACCAAACTCCTTCATCCTTGCATTAGATGCGGCAGATTCGAGCTTGACCATCTGAGACCATCGAGGCGCGACCCTGGTATATCTCGTGATGTTGGTCACGAGAAGGGCGTGAAGAATGACCTGATCGCACGCATATGAAATATTTAATGCGATCTCTTCCCGCAGGTCATTCACAGCTATTCGTCGGCTGGGAAATCGCTTGATCTCCGCGATGAAGGGAACACTTTGGCTGGTAACTTTTGACCACGCACGGTGTTGATGTGTCTTGCCAATGGTGGCCTTTTTTGACATCGTGACGATGATGGCAAAGTCGACGATTTGGGCCTTACTTGTAGGAGTGGCGGGAATAGTGCATTGGCTTTCATCGGAATCTGAATCGTCACCTTCGTACAAGAAATCTTCTGACCATTTTCAAAACAGGTCGTTAGTGATAACGAACATGGAAATAACGACGATGGACACCTTCCACAACGGCGGCACCATCGCTGTCATCATTGGGGTCCGATATAGGTATTAGCCTCATCTAGTAGCGTTGTGATACATGACAAACGGACCTTCGTCGAAGTCATCTATCAAATAACAATTCAGTGACATGAAGAAACGATGAAAAGGATGTTGTGTACCTGAATCATCAACACCTATTTCGCCTAAAGCGTGAGCTTACAGCATATTTAAGAGAAGATACATACAACTTGTTTCGTCGTCGGCACCATTGCCTGACTCGTCACCGTCAACTCGAGCTCTGTCGCCATTGTCGACATCCATTCCCTCGTCGTTATCATCATCACTAATATCCATCGCTTCGTCGTCGTCGTCATCCGCATCCTCATGCTTGCTTTCTGAATCCAAGTCCATTTCTTGACCTATGTCATCGTCGCAGTAGACGATGAACTGTGGTGCCACGCTTAGGACGGCCGTATCTTTATCAGCGATGCCAATGAGGTTAGTGCAGGCGGTATTCCAGGGGGAATACCATTCATGCTCGAGGTTACGTGGGTTCGACTGGTATGAGAAAGCACGGGAAATCCCTAAACGTGTCCTCGCCTTTATGAACTTTGAATGGAAGAACGTTGATCGGACGGTAGCCATGATGCAAATGGAAGGGTTGAGAGAGTCCACAAATCCGATGGGCACCTGAAATTGTACATAGAGGCAATTTTTGTATCTCCTGGAGCAGGTTGAAGATAATCTCTTTACTCCGCTCATGTTGACTACGGATACGAGGAAGACCAGGAAGCAGTCATCGTTCAAAAGTGAAGGAAGTAAACGACAAAATTTCTGGCAATTGCTTGTAAATTCACGAGATATGCTTATCCCGTGCATGAAATTTGAAATATCTACTACACCGCTTTGAACATCCACCGTCACTACACTTTGCTCCTACCATCTCGTTAACCATTACTTCTCGTACGTCTTTCGTAAAAGTCACGTACACTTTCTCACTTTATGGATAGCTCATCATGTTTTCCATTGAAGATCATCGTGTCTGTGGCTACTCCTTGAATGGTCCAGCTATCCTCGCGTATGGCGTGAAGAAAGGTTGGGGCACTGATAAAACCGCATTCGACAGAGTCTTCACGATGAAAAAGACTGTCGAGAACCTTTTCCAGAAGCATACCAATCTTCGCACTAAGGTCTGCGGCGTTGTGAAGCCAGTACAACCTGGTGCTGGAATCAACCTCTTTCTCGCCGTTGCCTGTACGGATCCCGAGGACTATCTTTCTTTGCCTGCGGAAGACGATCCTGACTTCATCGAGCTGAAGAATTTGCTAAAGACGACGAAACCGCCGAAATGGAGGACGATGAAGATATAAGATGGATACCCCTTTTGCGACCTGAGATTGCTCATTGATTTTGTCAAAGGTCGATGCACGTAGCTCAAAGGCTGACACCGCTGACCTAGTAGACATTGGTCATTATGTGTATAAATTTGTATAGTTATCAATCTCGCAAGTTATCTACAAAGCCTTCATGTTTGACCTGACTGTTCACTATATGGTGTTCTTAGGCTACAATGTGTGGAAGAAGATCAATGGGTCCAATCTTCACAGGGCCAATACAACATATTTATTGAAGAGACGTTGACGGGTCCTCCTGATGGCGTCCGAACGGGTACAAGTTTATTTTTATACTTGTCGAAAACAAAACTTCGAGAAGCCTGAGCTTCATCCTCTTGCTCGGTCCGTATGAATGAAAACAGATATGTCGGGAGGGTGTCCGAGAAAGAGCCTCGACTCAAATCCTTAAGCGCTCAGGCCAAGATACAACAACTACGAATTACGGAGTCGGAGCTATACGAGGTCCAGTATTGAAATAGTCAGAGCTGACAAGGCATGTACGGCGTCGAAAATATAGCAAGTCAGTGGTCACAGTCAGTATAAGTTAGGAACTGGCTGGATATTACATGGCTGCCTTGAATTCGGAATTTCAAAATCAAAGATTGCCGAAAAAGGGCTTGCCCCACCCTGCACCAGCACCACGATGAGTGACTATGTTCCCTCCATACAGGACCTTCGTGTGAAGCTTTGCTATATTTGTAGAGAAGAGGAACTTTTTGACAGTGCGAATTTTCTATTTCTTTGACATTCCATTGTCTGAATTGCTGCAACAGAACCGGAAATTCCGCCACGGATCTGGATACATCCATGCAAATGCGCGCTCGTTGCTCATGAAGCGTGTCTGCTGAAATGGATACAGACGGCACAGGCCACGTCGGCGGAGGCTGGGGAGAGAGCCATGACATGCCCTCAGTGCAGAACGCCATACGAAATTGAGAGCCGGAATCCGAGACTCTTGAGGATCCTTTCGTGGTGCAGTCGACAGCTGCCGACGTTGGGAAGGGTATGTCTCTGGACAGGTTTCGCTGGATTTTTGGTGTCCATGCAGGCTGGTCAGTGGGATATGCCATCTTTCGCTGTATATCTGTACTGAGACCAACAGGGATATACGTTCTTCTCACTGGATACGGTGCTCATGCAATCCAGCAATTCTTTGGACAAGAGTATGTGAGCGACATTTGAATCCCTTTCGTGCCTAACCATTTGCAGGATGTACGACTTTGTGCTCACCGACGACCCGTCCAACTGGCCAATAATGGCATACATTCAGCTCCCTCTCATCCCCATTAGCCTTGTCGTCTCTCGATATGCCCACGTTTCCCCAATCATGCCCACCATCATCGCGTGCTTTTCTCTCATGCCCCGAGGCATCTTTGCTCTGATCCACCATAACAATTACGCGAACAACATACGCATCGAGTCATCCTTGTGGCCACCATCTCCATACGCATTCGCTTGCGTTATCCTCCCCACTACCAACGCTATATATCGCGCTTGCTTCGCGAGGCTCTCATACAAAATCCTTGGTACGAGGGATCCGACAGAATACGAGGATAACCTCCGGTTCGTATTCAATGCTGACGACGAGCAGCGGGATCAAGAAGGCGAACGACCGCCTGCACCAGCAGAAGAACAGGCGGTAGAGCCTAATCTTCCTGCTGTTGTTCCTGCTCCCCCGGCCAATGGCGATGCCGTCGGTCAGCAGCTGGCTGATATCACCATTGAGATCAAGTCTCCCAGCCGCATTGGTCGTAGAATCGGGGGTGCTCTTCTTCTACCGACGATTGCAAACAGGATGGGCTCCTTGCTTTTGATGCTCTCAAAGCATTCGTTGTACATGCGCAAGTTCCTTGGCGTGCGTCCGCCATGGCAGAGTCAGGTTCCCTTCCCTGTAGCGTGGCTCAAGACCAATGCTCAGGGCAAGCCTGTCGTCCCCTGGGGTCTGGTTTTGCGTGCTTTCTGGGGTGGCGTCAGTCCTTGGGCGGAGCTCGATCCCGTCTGGTGGCGTAACTCGATTGGGTTTGGAATCTTCATTGTGGTATGTGCTTGTTCTAGATGCGCATAGAGGTAAGGCGCTAATGGTGATGCAGGCCAAAGATTGTATGAAACTTCTTTATCGCTGGTTGGTGAAGAGAGAGAAGGAGACGCGAAGAGTGAAGGATCGACCGTTCTCGGAGGTGGATGTATCAAATCTGGATCTTATCAAGGCGGGGGATGGGCAGGCATAGTTCTTTTACTTTTGAATATCGGTGATGTTAACCCTGAATGTTACTACCCTTCTCTCTACTCTGAGATCAATGCTGTGACATGATGACGGGAGCACTGCCTACTTATTTAAACTCTTACCACATTCTTCCATGGATTTTCGCTTCGTTGACCTTGTCCTCGCCACAAAATTTACTGAGGACTGGATATGATTTTTCCGGGAACGACCAACACGAATGCTCACAGGAGCCTTCACACCACCAAGACATGATGACGGGGAATAGAGGGTTGTGCAAAGTTGGATGAGGCTTGTGGTTTAGTTGAACGCTTGCGTGCGCAAAGTCTGGGTGGCCTGTGGACAGATGAAGCTAGGATAGTCATCTTGGGTGACCTCAGAAACATTAGTTGCACCTGATTGATATCCATAGCCCATGCACTATTATGGCACACTCTTTTCATTGATCGACTCGTCAATTAATTCTGTGAGTCATCCATGGAACGAGCTTCAGTGGCTCAGTTGGTTAGAGCGCCAGTCTCATACGCCTGTATGATCCTTGACATAGGAGTCATCTGGAGGCCCCCAGTTCGATCCTGGGCTGGAGCATACTCCTCCTATCAAGCTGGAGGGTTAGTTACGTACCAAACATTTAGAGGTCTAAGAGTTCTGCACCGATCCTTCTCTGTGACAGTGTTTTTGATACGGTATTTCAGTTGTATTATCGCATGACTGACGCACAGCAGTTACAGTTTTTTTTTTCAGAATTTTTATCTTCGCCTTTTTACACATTTTGTAGGTATTATGAACTGTAATGTTACCTACAAACATTGCATATCTATTAGTGTACTTTGTAAATCAAAGATACACACAGTAATAATGTAGTATTGAATCATCGTGCTGAATTACAGTCATATGATAGGTAAGGTACTTCAAAAATCCCTCCAACGAGGGGAGGTTAGTCACCAGTAACTTTCCGGTCTGAAACCATGGTGTACCAAAACCTAGGGTGTCGTGCGCAACCCTAGAGCTTTCTACGACTACAACAATGCAACAATTTTTCACCAGATGGCAGCGGGGCTTGGGCGAAACTTGCAAGTAAGGTTGCGCTATGCCTTCTTTGGCCCTCTTCACTACTCCTGCAGCTTTTGGCGGTTGTCAGGACTTGGGTTACTCTTTCTTCCTTCAGTTTCATGAGGTCTCCAGATGCCCATGAGCTTGCGTTATTACACCTCTCAATACAAATGAGAGCTCCACTCACGTACCGCTCAATTATTCTCCGAGTCATTCATATTCCCTCCGTTCTTCGAGCATAGGTTTCTCGGTGACCGCCTGCTCGATGAGGCAAAACCATTGCTAGTTATGCACAACCCGTGGTAACTCTCACTCTGACATGTCTCGTGGTCTGTAATTGAGATTCTGCCTTGTTTTCGGTGGCAAGTTCTAAGGCTGAAAAAATGGGCATTTGCCGACACATTTCTTGTAGATGAGTTATCCTTCTTTTCATTGCCACCATGCCTTCTATTTTTCTCTCCGGCTTCCGCCTCGGGATTATTATCATGTGGAAAGATGCGCAGTTTCATCGCGGCCCTTGAGACGTGGTCGTTCGCTTACATGGCAAGTGGATAACGTGTTGCAAGTTACTTAAACCTATGCGTTATTAATACCTTCTGGCCGGCTCGATCGATCATTTATAGCTCGACGTTAAGAGACGGCTGACTTGAGGTATCGGCACTTTCCTCCAACCTTCCCCCTTCTCCACCATGGCTATCTCCCTTCGACGCGCGGTGACCGTCGCCGCCTTTCTAGAATCCGTTTCTGCTAATATCTTGCCGTCATTCAATTATGGTACGGATAAAGTACGAGGCGTCAACCTCGATGGATAGCTCGTTCTCGAAGTACGCCTCTTGTTTTTTCTCTCCTTCCAAGATGTTTTAGTAACGGCGATGTCTCTAGTCCTGGATTACTCCATCTCTATTCGAAAATACAGGTGACTCAGGCAATATTCGCTGTTGTGATGAAATCGCTCTGGATCTTCGCTCTGGATAATCCTGACGTCGTTGACGAGTGGAGTGGACCTTTTGCGAGTATCAAGATACCGACACTGCGAAAGAAATGTTGCAGGAACATTGGAGTACCTGGATTACTGAATTTGATTTTGCCGACATTGCTGCTGAGGGGTTCGTGCTCTCTACCTTGTGTCTTTACGCTGATATTCATTTTGCCGGTAGTTTGAATCATGTTCGTCTTCTCATCGGCTATTGGGCATTACCCGTCAGTCTCCTTCTTCCATGTTTGGACCGCCTTCATTGAGGGCGGCTGTCGGATAGTGGATGGCATTCAAATCGCACAAATATCGGACGGAGCAACGACATTTTCTACAAGATGTCTTCAATGTTTGCAGACAAGGTTGACATGATAGAAGCGTTGAACGAGTTGAGTTCAATATATCCTTCGCATTGTTACCATGAGTTCATTGGATTAAAGCCAGCTGGGTTTTATGGCGATGTGGCGCTGCTCGCCATAAAGGAGGTAAGTATCACTTCTTCACTGATACAAAGCATTCACAATACCTTCCCAGTACTATTATGATGGATATCCTGCCGTTCGGTATGGTGACGTGCCACCTTGTCGACAACACTGAGTCTCATCATTTCTTCCCCAATTCGATAGATCGAACCAACAAAGGAACGCCCTTGTTTTAATCCACGACGCATTCCAAGACCTGAGCTATTGGAAAGACTTCATGTGCCCTGAAGACAAATATGACGGTGTGGCCATGGACATACATAGACACCAGATGTTCTCCAACGCAGTCTGCCCGAGTCTCCCCAGCCGCACAGTTTGTACTCATGTGTTTAGGAAGTCTCACGGACCGACGACGAGCGTATTTTCCTTAGTGTGCCAGGAGGGACTGTCGTTGTGTTCCTTCCATCTCTGGACAATCGTCGGCGAGTGCACGGCCGCTCCTATTGATTGCGCAAAGTATCTCAATGGAAAGTCACGCATACTCCTCTGATTCTTAGATGATCAGCCGAACTGTTACTATGGTAGTTATTTTGATGACAGTCCCAAGTTTGGTGACTGCCGTTGCAAGACAGGCTCTGCGAATGGTTTTAGCAAAGAATACAAAGCCTTTCTGAGGAAGTACTGGGAGGCCCAGGTATGCTTGAGTCTGGTATTTGACGGTGAGAGCAAGGCTGTCATCGACATAGCTTGTGACATATGAGAAGTCCACGGCCGGTTATATATACTGGACCTGGTCAGTTGATATTTTTCCGATTAGCGACTCGCCTATCGAAGTTGAATACCGATACAGGAAGGCAGAGTTTGCGGACGATTGGAGCTACCAAGCTGGTCTTGCGTATGGTTGGATTCCCCGAAACCTTATAAATCGGCTATACCCTAATATCTGTGGATAAATTACGCTCTTTGGAAATCTTGTCGTTTATTAGATTTCACAATGTTTCACATGAGAGAAATCTGTTGTAGTGTCAATGAAGTGACGCCAACAATTCTGACGTTCAAATCCTCACTAGCCCGACAGGGTACGCCCTTGAACATCAGCTGAAGCGTCTAGCTTCGCAAACCAGACTATGGAATCTCCTAATAATCGACTGTAAAGAGATGTCATGGTGTACCAGCAGGAAGATATGATACAGGTTCAATCCTGAGGACGACTTACTGTTGCAGGGAATTGTAATAATTTTTGTCCTCAAACAATAAAAATTTAGAAATGTTTGAAGCGGACGTTCACTGTTCAGCGCACATGTTGCTTTTCGTAAACTTGACAAATGTAGAGTCTCAGTCTCACGTTAGAGCAGCGTATTGGCAATATCAAAAAACAACAAAAGATGATATAGAACTCGCTTATCGTCTTCCAGCAGCAGCCTTCTGCTTCGCAGCCAACTCTTGTGCTTTCGCTGTAGATTGTAAAGTAAACAACATGAGAGAAAAGTATATAAGGAGGGTAAATACCTTCAGCCTCAGCCTTCCTCTTGGCCTGGGCAGCCTCGCGATCCGCTTTAATCTTTGCAAGACGAGACAGATCAGCCTTTGCTTGATCTGTCTTCCCCTGGAGGTGTAACTGCAAAAAAATCATTCATAAAAGGATACTTGAAGATAAAGCAAGGGAATAGCACCTTCCAATACCGATCCTGTGCATCCTTCTTCTCTTTGGCCTCCCTTTCACGACGGCTGAGCTCTCTCGGGGCACCAAGGTCGGATATGTAGAGCTTCTTGGTAACATGGTTGGGGTTGATAAAGTCCTCTTCTTCTTCTTCCTCCTGTTCGGCTATCTGTTTCTGTTTCTGTTTCTCGGCAGCTTGCTTCTTCTTTAGTTCTTTGCGCTCAGCGCGACTCAGCTCGGGTTTGTCTTCTTCCTCTTCTCCTTCTCCCTCTTCCTCCTCCTCTTCCTCCTCCTCCTCTTCTTCCTCTTCTTCTTCTTCTTCCTCTTCTGAGGATTCCTCCTCCTCGTCTTTACGAGCGCTAAAATAATCGATCGTTCAGATATTGAAAATGAGTGACGCCGGTTGGGAATGCGTACCGTGCAGCAGATACAGCAGTACCATTCTCATCTAAAACCATGTCCTTGCTGTAGATCATCAGCGACGTGAATACAGCAGGATAAATGGACTGGCGCACCTGAAGTTCCTGCCACCACCTCGCTTCTGCTTGAATTTGCCTGGAAATGAAGGAAGTAATATCCGGGACCGTAGAAAAGCGGTAAATAGATTTGCTTACCAGTTCCACGAACCATGGTTGTCGATGTACGATAAGGATAAGATGAGGGTCGATTGGATTGCGCAAACTGTCGGACTTTGATTCGTCCCCTAATCCGGACGAAATGGTACTGTGGGAATATATACCCCAATCCGTCTCCAAGAACCAGTGCTGACCGGCGTCATTGAACTCTGTCTGCAACCATGTCATTCACGATTCCAGCACGTCTTGCGCGGCCATCTATTCGTTCACAGAGCCCGATAGAGGCCCGACAACGTGTTATCCAGCTCTACCGCGACTGGTGCCACGGTGTACGTCCACTTGTTATCCGTTTTCACCCTGGTAATGACCTCTACTTAGGCCCCGGAAATCATTTCTCTCTACGCCCTCAACGTTTCCCCTGCCTACATACGTTACTGCATCCGCCAGCGCTTTGAGCGCCATCGGCATGTCACTGATCCCCGCGCCATCGAATTGCTGCTCTTGAGGGGTAGGCAGGAATACCAAGAGACGATGAACTGCTGGAAACTCCCGGACCAGGTGATGGGTATCCTTTTGAAGCCGCAGGAGAACACGAAGAAGACATTTTTGCAGAAGTTCTATGAAGGTGCGTGGTTTGTCGATTGTCTGATGCTGCTTTACTTAGTGGGCTGTAGGTGGAGACGAAGAGGCGCTTATACCGGCTGCGTCTGGTGTTGTGTAAAATCCCGGTTGCAGTTGATGATGTTTTTGAATAAACACTCGAAATCGTTAGACAACGAATACATGCACGCATGAGAACCATCAAATCTTGTCTTACACTAGAAGGGTCGCTTCTTCGATTTGGGCGTTGCTCCAATTTCTTAGGAGACCTCCTCAGCATGAAAGCGGGGAAGCTTCGAATCGGTAGCTATCAAGGCCGGCATGGTGGGCTGTCACGCCACTAAACTGAAGGAACGACCTGTACAGATCATAAAAATGAGCTTAAGCACTGTCGCCTTTCGCCGAGGGTAAATGACCCTGTTGTATGGTATTCTCTAGCCAAGACTTTCCTTTATCCTTTCCTGCGATTATCTTCATCTAGTCTGCCCACCTTTCATATTTTGTGCGATTAACTGCAATCTCTAAGGTAACCCTCTGTTTGCAGCAGTCGCATTCTCACGTGGATTTCTTTGACCAGGACTACCGCGTCTATGATAGCAGGCGCCTTCGCATTGTGCTTATCCTTCCCGATGTGTGAAAGGGAAACACCAATGTCATGTCCACGACTCGGATTGCCTCGCCCTGGCCAATGCGCAACGATGCAAGCGTACGCCCTGACACATTCTATCCATGAAGCACACCTCTCACCGACCACTGAAATAAGGAACTGTGACAGGTACGTTTCCTAGTTCTTCCAACATTTCCAATTTGATTCAATCGCTCTGGTTAGATACATTCACTTCTCGGGTTTTCCTCAACAAACGTACAGATTTGCGTCCTATCGACGCTGAACAGCAATACGAAGCCTCAGCTCGTTTTGGTAGTCGGAATACATAAGTACATGGCAGCATCTGATCACTACTGAGCACCAATTTATGAACTTCACTTCGGTGGCCGCGAAAAAAGCATTTAATATTTTATGCGACGTGGATGTTACTGAAGCACTTTGATGCCGGATGGTACTGATATTGACTTATATCTTCTAATCGACGGTCGGGTTCGTTTGTCAAGGCCAAGATTGGTATTTGCGGATCCCGGACTAGGAACGACTTCTGACTTCTACTACCATCATCGATACTCCGGTTGCGGCGTTTTGCCTCTCCTCCTTCGAATGACCTCAGAATGTATCGTACGGTGCTCAGGAAGCACTTACTTCTACGGGTGAGGCGCGAAACTTTTGGACGTCCGTCTGCACCCTCCCCCCACCAATGATCGTCGTGTCCATTGTCCCTATATGCACACAGTGGCGGTACCTTCCAGCTGATCTTGGTGGCGGCCCCCATTCCAGCATGATATACAGTATTCCCAAGTTTGGGTCTCGGACGTCTATGCCTTTGGCGAACATCAAAAATTCCTCGGCAAGGTTATCATGAAGATCATCCAGCCCTCTCTCATATGTCTTCCCCATCCTAACTGGTATTTGGAGGCGCAAGACTACGTCAGACCATGGACTCTTTGGCGCACTGAAGATAAGGCATATTAGGAGCTCAAGCCGTTGGAAGGAAGTACGGTGCCATGTTATTTTGGCAAGCAAAAGGTCAGTTGCCATCTATCAACGGTTGCGTGTGTGGGTCTGTGTAGGTCACGATGCCGGCGGAAGAAGATGCGGACGTTCTGTTTATGGAATACGTCGAAGGCAATACGCTCGAGCAGTGGAAGGAGGACCGGCCAGCGCATGAGAAACGCGAAGACTTGGGGAACGCTAACGAAGCATATATGGAAGAGACGAAGGAGATGATGAGCATTATAGTAGTGGCTTTGTTCTCTTGACTCAAACATCATACACCAGCTCAAGAAGGTCCTACTCGGCGTTGATGCCTTCAACAAGCTTGGCATCGGACACAGAGATATACGCTCATCGAACATCATCATTACTCCCTCCGGAGAGCCCGTGTGAATCGACTTTACTAGGGCGCGCTGTAAAGTCGGCCCATGCAAGGTTCGAAAAATATTCAGAAATCCTCTGAAGGCGGCTACTCTCGTTCGAGATTGCTGCGAACGTCATGAGGAATAAATCATCGAATGGTCTAAGGCCGAGTTGGCGAAGCGTGTATCCGCTATTGAATGGGATTAGTGGGTACGTTTCTTCGCTAGTATAACGCCGGAGGTTTGGTCACTCAGATCTTTTTGATAAGTGCCTCCTCCTAAAGCGGCCTTTCTCTTCTATGTAATATCTATATTCTACGCTCTTTTCTCTAATATTTTTTTGAACACCGTCTCACTCTGGCTCAACGAGTTTGACTCTAGGGATAATGGAAAACCCTAACGAAGTTTTGAAAAGCGCTGCACAGTTGGCACGGAAACAGCTACATTACGAGGGCAAAGTTCACATATCGGGTCTTTCAAGAAGTCTATAGTTGTCCTATATACCGTAGGAAAGGGCCGCTGAGTCTTACTGAATAGTTGCAAACCTTCGTATTTGCCTGCGTCGGACCGGCGTTCATTGTGTGGACCGGCCATATCGTGCTGGTGACCTACCGACCTACTTTCCTCAGGATTTCAAGCAGTCTTGGTCTCTGTTTGGCACTAGCTCTCTGACTAAGTAACTGGTACTTCTAGTGGTTTAGCATCATGCCCAAAGTCGGCACGAAGGACGTGAAAATGATTTTAAACCACATAAATGATTATGTTTCATAGCGAGATGCTATTACAAAATATCGGCGATTCCAACGGCGAGTATGTCTAGTAAAAGCTATTGTACATGAGGCGATCGAATATAGCTCAAGGTACACTATAGTACATCTCAGAAGAAGCCAAAACCCATGTCATCCGAGTCCGAGTCGAGTCCCAGTTGTACATTTCCACACAAACCCAAAGACCAGCCTCGGACAACAAGTTCAGCCTATCCTCATCTCTACCGGTCAAAGACCACCCCAGCCGTTCTTCGAGTACAATGGAGACACGACTCGGCCATTCTCACTCTAGAGGAGATCATCTCAACGAAATCCAGGTCAAAAAATGTCGCCGTGTCAGACATGAAGCCCCATGCTTCAATAGATAGGGAGCGGAGGTGAGGAACAACACAGTATCGTCCATGATCATCGACCTCTGCCAAGGAGGATACAACAGCATGGAGCACATCACCGTCCATCACCGTCCATGCCTTGATCATGATCTCCAACTCGCAGAGCGTCCGCAACCATCTCAGAATGTCTACGAGGCCGTCATTCAGATGGGCGCGGGCAAGGGTGAGCTTCGTGAGGGTGCAGCCGGAGTTAGAAATCAGAATATTGAGCGACTGGAGCGCGCCAGGAGGACAGGATTCGGTCCTTCCAGTATCATTTGAATCTGTTCCCAGTGCCGTTGCCAATAACAGAGAGGTCAGCTCGAGACTCTGAAGGAAGTGACGGGTCAGTTCGTGACCCTCATACAGGCGTGTATCAGAGAAGGAAATTATTGGAGAAAGGGGGGGATTGATTTTTGTGCCTCTGGTGAGGTCAGTACATTTGACAGTTTTGAGCGAGGGTGCTTGAGAAAAGGCCACTCCAGCCCAGGGAAGGGGTTCTTGGCGCTGAGGGAAAGATGGATGGAATGCTCGGTTATTTGCTGCACATATACCTACTGGCGCTCCAGATAATCAAGTGCACGGCGGGCTATATTGATATCAGCCTCTATTTTCATAGCTGCCTCGTCTAGGTTTCGCACAGAATGACTGAGAGGAGGCCTGGTGAAAATATCGTCCTGGTGAGTAGAAGCCGTAGAGAGTTCCGACGAAAATTCCTTCAGCCAGGAGTATTTGGAGTACAATGAAGCCAGAAAATCTCTGAGAAGTGTTTGAGACTCGAATGAAGCCTCAGAAGAGCGACTTTGGACAGAACCAAATGTTAGAGGAGTCAGAAATCTTGGAATGTTTGCATGTAACACTCACGGTGCATCGTGTGCTTCTGCCATATTTCGATAAAGGCGTTTTCAGCACAAAGTAATGGGGTTAGATATCATCCTTCGGTGCTGGGGTTCGCTACTGATGGCTGTGTGTCGGTCTGGTGCTGGTGGTAAAGAAGAGAACGTAATGATATCTATTTGGCCTCCGTATTAGATTATGTCGGACCGGAAGTTCCGGAACTAGCTTAAGCGTCAACGGACGCGCTGAATGAGCATCACGACCTGCTCGTCGTGCGCGGTAGAGAGGCATGCATCAATCCCTTGCACAGAGGCTACACTTTTTCTGTTAAATTAGATCTATATACTGCCCCATCGAGCTTCGACAAACGTCCCTTTCCATTGTTCGCAAGAGATAGCGGTATCTTCGACCTTATCTTGGTCGACGCCCCACATCTATTCATCCACAAAGATCAGTATTCACAAGTATGGCTCGCTGACGTCAATTTTGACAAGAACATTCTCTGTAAAGTAATCATGATCATCCAGCCCTCCCTCATCCGCCCACCCGACATCGACTGGTATCTGGACGTGTACAACTACGTCAGACCATGGACCCTCTGGCGTACCAAAGACCTATCGGGAGCTCGAGTCATTGCAGGAGAGCCTGTACCATATCACTTTAGGAAACACAAGGTCAGCTCCCGTCACTTGTATCGGGCTACTGATGACTGTTCCATAGCTCACGATGCCGTCAGGCGAAGACGCTCAGGTCCTGCTCATGGAATACATCCAAGGCAAGATGCTTGAACAGTGGCTCGAGGACCGGCCAGTACATAATAATATTAAGCCTGAAGATCTTAGATTTGGGGGATGCCAACGAGAGATATGTAGAAGAGATGAAGCAGATGGTGAGTACTCTTTTGTTTTCCTCTTTTCCTCTAACCATGGCATGAAAGAAAGTCCTACTCGGTGTGCATGCCTTTAACGAGCTGGGCACAATGACATGCGTCCAGGGAATATCATCGTCACTCCCTCTGGAGAACCCGTGGTCTTCGACTTTGTTATGGCGTGCTGCAACGGCGACCCAGCTGACGTACGGGATCGCTTCGAAAACCCTGCCATGGCGACTGGCTCTCTTCGACATTGTTGTGACCAACACGAAGAGGAAATTGCCAAGTAGATCGGGAACGTGGGCGAAACCTAGCTTGTGGGCCCGATGCTGATCAGACGCTGTTTCTTTGCTCATTTTTTTTTGGCTGGTATCAAACTAAGGTTACCAAATCTTTCCTTCAGTTGACTGCCGCCTCTCAGACGTTAAATTTTCTACGTTATTTCCTTGTATACGCATTACCGCGCTCCAAGCTCCTCCTCCCGGGTCTGCGCTCTCTGTCTTTGTCTATCCTTTCAGCTATTTCATCCCTATCATCCCGTCGGCGCTGGCTCTAGGATACGTAGATGCATGGCAACATCTGATGGCCTTAGCAAGCACCAAGCTATGAATTTCATTTCGAACGAAATAATCGATGTTTCAGAATGGCAAGGATGTTAGTGAATCGCCAAGATGTCGAACGGTACTGATGTTAACTTCCCTTCTAGTCGATGTTTGTCTTCGTAATTGAATTCTTGTCAGTGCCGAAGCCCGTATTGGGGTTCAAACGAAGGATCCGCAATGCGATAACAATAATGTCGAAGACCGCTTTTGACCATCGAGCGCATCTGGGTTTTCGCATTTCGTCCTTCTCTCCTTCTTTCGCCCGCAGCATCCAAGTGATACCGTCTCTCGGATAGTCGACGACGGTACCAGTAGCAGCATTGCATGCATCAGGCAGTATTGTATCAGTATATCAGTCGAAGATAGTTGTCAAGCTTTTTTGTCCCTAGGTACGGATTCAGAGGTCCAAACCGTTTGTTTTCGAAAGGAGAAAAATTTCTCTGTTCGACGTCCAGGATTTGTTATCGGCGCGCAAGGAGAGTACATTATTTCAATAATAATCCACTTGGAAACCGCCTTGCTTCGAATAGGTATCAAGTAAGACCGGTTGCACATATGATTGCAACTTGCAAGAACAATTCATAAGCATGATTAAGTTGGAACTATGATAAGGACGCCACTGAAACAAGGGCAATCTTTTTCATTGCAAAAAAGAAATAGGTCAGTTACGTAAATCTGGGGCTACAAAAACAGTTCAAACCAGTACATAAGAGTAAGCGACAAGCGAGTACTGGTTATTTTTAGTGATCGTATGGTGGGGTCTGCGCACGGTCACGGTCACGATCATCGAGCTTGGGGTCGACATATTTTGATTCGAGCGGGGGTGGAGTCCTCGCCCTGTCATCACGCCTGCGTTCGGGGCTTGGACTACGTGGCCTCCGGTCCGGGCTCCTGCTCCTCCTGCGGCGTTCTCTGTCTCTATCTCTGTCTCCTCTGTCTCTGTCCATCCTTTCAGCTCTTTCATCCCTATCGTCACGTCGGCGTGGGCTCCGGGAGCGGTCACGTCGATGAGGAGGAGAGGTCCGTCTCTCGTAGCGCCACACGGAGGACGGAGGGTTCTTGGCCCACTGGTGAGATGGTCAACGGATGAACATGATGGAGGAGACAGACACATACCTGAATGCTCAGACGGGAACCCTCAAAGTATCTCCCATGCCTGAAACAGATGTCAGACTGCGGAAACAAAACGGTGCGCTAAACACGAACATATCGTAATACGCATCCTCAGCATCACGTTGCTGACGGAACTCGACAAAGGCGTAACTGCGAGGTGTTCGAGGGTACGTTGAGCGACTTTTGGTTCGGGAAATCATTGCGGCAAGCAGAGTATCGACGCCAAAAAAATTCGCGAGCAAAATTCGACGACTCGTATCGACGCGTATTGACACTCGGCGGCACCAATCGACTGCGAAGAATGGGTGGCAAAAACTCAGATGTATACTCACGGGTTGGAGCTTGCGTGGGGATTGCGGGGGGCAGGGACGTCACATCGAACCAAGGGACCAAATCTGCGACAAAGGGAAAATGAGTACTTCTTCCAGTCCAAAGCATCCACCATACCGTTCGAATTCGTAGGCCAAGTCTCGAGCACGAGTAGAGGGATGGAAACCGCTGACGAACAAGATGCGAGGCATTTCGTTGTCGTGGATGATGAGGGAGTTACTGAGAAAATATTTTCAGGTCCGCTGGTGGCTCTTTATGTGGTACTATTTGTATTTTGTGGCGAGCACAAATTTTGCGGGACGAAAAAAATGTATATGAAATAAAATATAACACAAAGGCACAACAAGTTCAACTTGACCTCACAGTTTTACGTCGCGAGGTAGGATATGCTGCTGTTGTCGTGATTTTCCAGTATTAACCCTTTCTTTTAGATGAATATCGTATGCGAAATTCTTTGTTAGTACGGAGAGCATGGCAACAAACACGCTCTCTGTCGGCCACGATTTCACAGCGTGCTGAGGGCCAGCTCCCTTCGCCTTCGTCGCCAGCTCTTTCATCAAGCAAGCTTGAGCTCTCTTTACGGAGCCCTTTCTTTTCGGATTGCATGTATGGGTAAAGTTTTTACCCTCAATTTCTTATTGCTCACAAGTCACTGCAGATCTGCACATCGCCCGCGATATTCTTCGTTTCGATGCCAACAAATACGTTGTGTAGTGACCAAAGCTTTGCCTCTGCGTCCTACTGTTGATACTACCTCGTCGCGCCCAGCTATCGGCCAGTACTACGTCCGCTACCTCTTCAACGCGACACACTACCCTGTATGGCGCATCCTGTTCGCTGCTAGCACACATAAGCGTCTCGATTTACACGTCGGGCTCCTCAAGCAGGATCTTACGTTTGAAGAGTATTCTAGGTTTAAGCACATTATGGCCAAGTCCGACATCGAACAAGCTGTATCGGTTCTCCGAGATGAGGGGTACACGACGCGAGAGCAGGATGATCAGAGGAAGCACTTACCAGAGTGGTTATTGCTTGCCCTGGTCGCATTCAAAGTACGCACACCTCATCATGCCGCGGGCGTTTTGCTCGAGCTCGCCTGGTCGCATTTGGACTCCATCTCGTACAAGTACAAGCCGGGGCTTCTGATTCTCTTCACCCTCCATCTCGCAAGGTTCAATCTCAGCCAGCCTATCCAGCGTGTTGTCGACCAATTTCTCCTCATACGGTTGACTCCCCCGTCTGCTCATTTTAATCTCCTTTTGCATGCGATGTCGACCAGTCGCGTTCGTTCTCCAGAGCATGCCAGGTTGGTTCTCCGGATCCTACAAGCGATGGAATCACGGCATATCAAGCTATGGCGGTCAACATACCTTATCTTGCTCAATGACCGTTGGATCACCCTGGAGTTGACCAAATACCTCCGGGAGCGCATGTTGCGAGAAGGGAGGATTCCTGATACTGACCATCTCGAGGCGTACATCCGGATATTTGCCAAGCATGGTGCCATCGAAGACCCAGCACAATATCGGGCAGAGGTCAAAAAGTTCTATTTGTCTTCTAACATTCAACGACGCGACGACTTCTCTGCGTTCGAATTCCTCCGTGGTATGACGCCCCAAAGTGCACCGTATACACGTGCCGTGAACCATAAACCACTCGGGTTCAAACCACAGATGACGGATCGACAATGGAATGCCACCTTTGCGTCTCTGGCACGACGGGAGCGTCGGCACATCCCAGCCAAAGGTATTCTTTCACTGTACTACAAGGGCACAGGGAAACGCCGCATCCGCCCGTCTATTCTTACCTACACTTCTCTCTTGCGCGCGCTCTTCCTGCGAGCGCTCTTCAAGCGAGGAGAGCTACGGAGCGCCAAGCAACATTGGTTTAAGCTCGTCCACTCCGGTTTAATGCAAGACACCAGGCTTCTCTCAGTCGGCCTTCAAGTGCTCACTCACATCGGGCATCCCCACAAGGCATTTGCATTCCTCGAGCAAAGCAGCGCGAGGGTGGACGTCCCTCTCCGGGCTTCATACCGCATTCGGCAGCCCATTAACGTGTCCGTCGTCGCGATGAACAAATTCATCCTATCTCTATACCACATCAAGCGGCCGGATGTCGTCTTTCTTCTATGGGACCATATGGCAGGGATGTACGGCGTGTACCCGGATGGAAGGACTTTTTCGCTCCTGCTGCAGTGCATACGGCTCTCATTGAAGATGGATGATAACTTACGCGGGGCACTGGCGCAGTTGCTCTGGAGACCAAGGGAGCCGCAGACGAGAGAAGATGTCGTGAGGTCGTTTGTTAATCTCCTTGGGGATCAGAAACCTAAGCCGTACCGCCCTGGGGTATGGAAGCGTCCTGTCGACAAGGTCGGGTGTATGTTTCGCTGGGCAGTGTTTAACATGAAGCCATCGCTGGCCGGCCTTGATCCCCCTGTGAGGCTGGGGAAGCGGAAGGTTGACCTCGAAGCTGGACCTGGGACGGGAATGATAAACGTGAGTGTGACTACGCAGAACTGCTATGATTATTTGCTGCTGCTGGGCCTAACGGGTAAGGAGGAGGAGATCCCGTACGTGTTTGGATGGATGAAGGAACTGGAAATCAAGCCCACTACAGATATGGTGGCGATGGCGTTGGTGTTTTGGGCGGAGGCGTGTGGATTGGAGCCGGGGAGTCCGTGGAAGAAATTGGTGAAATGGCTCAGCGAGTGGCAGGGAGATGAGTTTATGCCGGATACAAGGAAGCTGGTCAAGTGGCGGGAGATTGTTGTTCGTATGAAAGGGTTGGAATAACGTTTTCTTGGACGGGGGCCTTGAGAGCCCCTCATCGCTTGGACCACATATTTGGACCGTCGCGACTGGATGCTTTCGGGCCTCTTCTGGCATACCTAAAATTATTTATTCTTGGCTACAAGGATTTCATTATACAAAAGAGAGCATAGTATACATACACAAAATTAAACTAGAGAACTGGGTGGCTGGGAGGCGCCTGTGAAAGCTTGTGGCTTCTTCATTCTTGTATCATTTAGACAGAATTCGTCGCAGTATGTAGAGAAAACTCTGGCCGTGGGATAGTCAGTATCGGATCCATGAGCCGGCTTCGCCAACTCTTCGTCAACCCACTTGAAAATTTCCTCTTCGTGCTGGTCGCAACAATGTCGGAGAGGGCCGGTCACCATGGCAGGGTTTCTGAAGCGCCCTCGTACTTCAGCTGGGTCAACTTTGTGCGCCATAGTAAAGTCGAAGACCACGGGTTCTCTAGAGGGAGTGACGATGATGTTTCCTGGGCGCATGTCGTTGTGTCCGAGGCCCAGCTTGTTGAAAGTGCACACCGAGTAGAGTTTTCTTGAACTGATGCACGATTATTAGAAGAAAAGAACAAAAATTAAAGATTACTTACCATCTACTTCGTCTCTTCTACATATCCCTCGTTAGCATCTCTCAAATCTTCAGGCTTATTACGTGCGGGCCGGTCCTCGATCCACTTGTTCGAGTGTCTTGCCTTGGATGATCAGAACCTGAGCGTCTTCTCCTGACGGCATTGTGAGCTACGAAATAGTCGTCGTGGAATACCCGCTATTCCTCAGGCTACGATTCGTACTTGAAGACTTTTATTTTCATCAGTGGAACGTTTGTTGTTGGTATTCGTATGTCGGTTTTTGTAATTACCTGTATGTGTTGCGAGGTATTACACGACCATCAGAGCATATGAATGATTTCAGAATCCGGACGTCTCTGTCGTGTTCAACTTGAAGACACTTTGTTAGATAGAGAATACACGTAGTTGTCACGTCGAGGTCACTCCTTTCCCTGAGGCAGAGGACAGGACGAATAAAAACAAAGAACGGCAGCAGTGATGTTCATATCTCAAACGCGTGAGATATTTCTGGCCTCCGATTGGACTGACGTCCGGTAGCGATAGAGACGTCTGGAAATTTTAATGAGTTCAATATCAAATCTAAATGAACAGATTATAAGATCAGAAACGCAGAAAAACGGGTATCGTATTTCTCCGTTTTCAGCGCAGAAAGCTCGACATATGTTGAAAGGACTCGATTCAAGAAAGGGTGGGGGAGGCGACCCTGATGAGATCAGCATGGTGGTTGGAATCTAAGGTCGAAACGAATCCGACGACTCGGTAACAGCCTGGCAAGGACACATAACTCGCTGCGGTAACATTGCCGATTTTACTTCTAATTTCCATTCACTGATGAGCCTTGCTTTTCTTTTACGCTATTCTTATTGCGATGCCTGCAATATTTCTTTCGTCCTCCTCTCTCGAATCTTGTTCCTGAAATCAGATTTGCATTGAGAGTTCTGATACGTCTGTGTCAACTTGAAAGAGGGCTCCGATCTCGTGCGTCAGGGTGGCCTCGACAGAACTGGAGAAGACTTGAATCTCCAACGTCTGTATATTTGTTACGATAAAAACTGATCCGGCAGCTAGGAGATTAGCCCTCATGCAAGCTCAAGAACTGGAAATCTCGTTCTTTTCTAGGCCTCATACTCCGTAGAAACTCAAGGGTACGGTTCAATTAGTAAGGGAAAATCAATTGCCTCTTTTTCTACCTAGGGCGCTCGGGCAGTCCGGCAGAGCCGAAGACGCCCAAAAGCCTGTCGACCATCTTGACGGACTGATGTAAGTGGATCTGAATTGCCAGTGAATAATCATTGGTTCTAACCTCCTGATTCTATTTGTTATCCCTATCTACTGTTCTGCTATGTCGTTTCTGAGGCTCGGAACTCTTTTCCCCATCTCTTTGGCTTTACTCTCATTTCTGATTCTTCGCTACGTCCAACGTAAAAAAGACCCTGCAAGCAAGATTCGCTGTGCTGTATGTATCTTATTTAACACCGATAAACGACTGACACTGAACGCTCTTATAGCCAACACCTGAAGCTCATTGGCTCTGGGGCCACGAATACGTTGTGTGGCAGCATGAAGCTTGCAAAGTGTACTTGAAATGGGCCACAGATCTAGGATCTTTGTATAGAATCAAGGCTTCTTTCTTTCAACGCGACGTGGTGTGTCTTCATTGCGACTATTAGCTCTAGAAATATTCTCAAGATCCGAATCAGATTGTCGCCGCAGATAATCTTGCGTCTCACCACATCCTTGCAAACGCGTATCGATACCGTTCGTGTTTTCTTTCCTATTCTCTATTTTGTTTTGCTGATAAATCCCTTACCAGCAAAAGCGCCTGCGTTCCTACCATTGACGGATAAGCTGATTGGAAAGGGTGTCGTATGTGCTCAGGGCGACTAACATAGGCACCAACGCAGGCTCATTGCGCCAGCATTTACGTGAATCTGAAATGCCGTATTTTACTGTTCGAGTTTATCCGTTGTTTTTACAGGTTCGCTGCCGTGAGAGGGATGTCTGATGATGTCGTCGAATGCACCCAGAAGGCATATCATACATAACTTAATGAAACTCCGTCTATGCTGACTGCTTCTTACAACAGTTTGTAAGGCGAGTTACAAATTACGTCAGATCGCAGGGATACGAGACCACAGTGGATATCTCTCCATTTGTATCGGCTTGCACGTCAGTTCTCGGCTCGCCCGTCATCATTTGTACCTCACTTCTGATGGTTGAACAGACTCGATATCATTGGTCGTATCGCGTTCGGTCATGATTTTGGCTGTGGCGAGTCCCAGGAAGCAAGGGTCATTGCCGAGTCTTGGCACCAGGATGTCTTGCTTGGAAGAACCATGGCGGGGTTCCTCGCGCCTATCATGATGTGTGCTTTCCCATGGATCACTAAGCTCCCTATCCCAGCTTTGCAGACAGATGGTGTTGCCAAGAGAGTGGCTATCAGGCTTGTGGGAGAACTTCTCCGGCAGAACAAGGCTCAATTGGAGAGCGGAGATGGAAGGGATATTCTTTCGATTTTGGTCAAGGACCAGAAGAAGTCGAAGCACGACGAGCGTCTCTCACATACCACATTGCTGGAGAATGTAAGTCTCAGATTTCGTCCCAAACTTTCTCGTACTGAAAGTGACATTAGATCTCAACATTCATGTATGCTATCCCTCCGCATTTTCACAATTAGCTTTCCTCATTCCATATGCCAGACTGGTAGGCCGTGAAATGACGTCCTGTACTGTAAGCTTCACTCTTTTGGAGCTCACTCGCCACCCCGCTGTTCAACAAAAACTGCGTCAAGAAACACGCGAATTGAGCGACTTTAGCTACGACCACATTCAAAGCCTACCATACCTCGATGCTGTTTGTCGTGAGGGGTACGTGCAGCTACCTATCGGAGATTTCAGTGCTCACTAATCGCATTCAGGTGCGCGTTCATCCGGCTGCGCCGCGAACCGATCGCATTGCTTTGGAAGACGATGTGATCCCTTTGAGCCAGCCGTTGACCACTGTCGACGGGAAGACCGTGTCTTCGATTGCCATCAAGGCCGGACAGGTCGATATGTTCCTTATCTACTAAATGTCATACTTGAACAATCGCTAGGTGTTCCATATACCAAGCGCAGTTCAAAATACCGATCCCCTCGTGTGGGGAAAGGACGCCGAGGAGTTCAAACCCGAGCGCTGGCTTCTTCCTGGTGGAGTGCCTTCCAAAGACCAGCTACCATATGGTCCATACGGGAATATCGCGTCCTTCCTGGACGGTCCCCGTAGCTGCATTGGTTGGCGCCTTGGTAAACCTCCTGAGTTTTTTTAAATACTGAGAGTTCCTGATCATGATCTCTCTTTTGATTCGGGACTTTGAGCTGACGAGTACCCCTGACGACGTGAAGGGCTATATTGCCGGGACACTTCAACCTTTCGTGGGTGACGAAGTCAAAATGCCAATTCACTTGAAAATATTGCGTTCAAGTGAATGAGACAATTCTTTCATTGTTCTTTCAATGTCGCGACAGAATAGCACACATTCAGGAAACACGGACTCTTTCTGTTCATATTCATGATATAGCTTTTCTTCCCTTACTACGTATATAAATTTCCCGCCTATTACTGTTGGAAATCCTCGGTGATGTGCAGGGTAGACTCCAGGCTGGTAAGGCCAGAAGGTATGAACTCCTTATTCTACAGCTCCTACAGAGCTTGTATTTATACTCTCCAGACTTATATCTAGAATTTACTACAACTTTCTCTTTCTCTCGAGCTTACTCATCAACTCTCGGCATGATGCCGGATTGCCCTTTCTAGAACTTTCCAGCAAAATCCCAACAATTACGCCCTCCAAAGTTGTCCGATGTGCAGAGGTGAGACGAGAGAAAAACGCACGTGAGCGCACTTCGGAGTTTGGTCCCGAATCCCGACCACGAAGTTCTTGCCCAAGTACTACCACCAGTACGGCCAGCTACTTCATCTGATGGCTTATCAACTGCCGCCTAGCTCCTCAGATGGCGTATTTGCAGTGTCGGGTTCTGCTATCATCGACGCATCAATAGAAACGGTTTGGAATAATTTGCTGGATTTCAAAGGGTATAAAGAGTGGTACGACGAGCTCTTGTCGCACAACATAACTTCTGGTTGACTTGCTCTAGGAATCCTTTTGTGTATGCAGTTCCTGTTCATAAGAAGGGCCGAAGCCTTATTTCAATTCAGCCGCGATCAAAACATCACTGATAGCTCTGGTAACATCCTCCCTGACCAAACCATCGCTGAGGGCAAATTCGTGCACATATATCCCGTCCACCTTACCCCAAGTCTTGAAGACGTTCCATTCTACAACAGGTTTTCTGCGTTCGTCGTCTGTACGGCTTTAGATCACGAAAATCACCGCGTGGCATGGAAAACCACTTTACCTCGGTGGCTGCTCGACGCAGAACGCTGGCAATCGTGCACCGTGGTGCCAGGGGGGAAGGTCAAGTATGAAAGCATCGAGGTCTTCAATGGAATCTTGGCCTATCTCGTACGTTTCTTTGTGGGGCAGAAGTTGATCAACGGTGTAGGAGCAATGGCGAGGGGCTTGCAGGCCAAGTCGGAGAACTAGGTGGGAAATAACAGCCCTCTTGTAGCTCCGCCACTCATTGACTCCTACTTTTTCACAGATGCATGGTTCTTTACTATGTTTGCCTATGCATATGGGACTAGGGTAAATATCCGCTTCCAATGGCGACACGCGTCGAGAAGCATTACGGACTTATCATTTTTGAGACTTCGTTGTTATCTATCTGTAGGGGCCATCCAGTAGCGAATGAGATTATTCTATTTTGGATGTTGCCTGAGCGTTGAAGCCTGATATTGCAAGCATAAAAGCAGAGCATCTGCGTAGCCTAGACCTCATCACCAATGGCGCCTTTCTTTTCGTTGATTATTACGTCTTGCTGCTAGGAATTTTTCCACCTACCATTTCTGGGCGATGCACTGGCGTCTAGGTGCGTATCTCTTTTAAACAAAGTGCTTGTCCTCTCATGCTTTTCAGAGCGCTACAACTGACTACGTCCCCGTTGGTAATGCCTTAGTTGATGTTGTCACGGAAACTTGTTCTCTGGGAAAGCCAGTCGCACTGGACGTAGTGTCGCCTGTCGATGTCAGAGGCGAGCCCTGTAAGCTGTCTAGTTATCAGCAACTGAAATACAGAAATGGTCAGGTATCATTACATGTGGCCGAAACGGGACCTCCCTCCCTCCCATTGGCGGAGACTGTGATGTAATAGAGGGATGTAATAAATGCTGCTATGCAGGTCAGTCGCATTTTGCGAAGGTGATCTGCCCGAGGGGAGTTTAATGAACCCCGCACAGATCCTCTCGGGAGAGGGTAGCGTTTCATCTTCATTTACTCTTGATCCTGGTGCAAGTAAGGTACATATGTGGTGTCACCACTAAATCTTTTTTCTGCTGAAGCTTTCCTGTTGACCTATAGATTTTATTGTACGTGACATGCATATACTTTTTCAGCAATACAGCGGAATATTTCCTGAGACCGGAAAGACATTGTAAGTATTAAATCGAAGGACCGTATTGGGTCTGACAATGATGACTGAGTATCGATGCTTCATTGGCTCGCTTGCTACCCTCCAACTATGCCTATGAATTGGATGGTTGAGTAAGCATTCAGCATCATGACATAGAACATTCTTGACGAAAGCTTTCCAGTACCTATTGTTGGGATTTGGACTGTATCTAGAGTACATGCTTGTAAGACCTTTAGTCTTTGGGTTTCAAACTCCTGAGGAGTTTCCCATTGACTTCTCATATTTATACTAGACTACTCCTTTTCTAGTAGTTTCTACCTAATTCCTTCAATTTCCCTCAGATTCTTTCCTTACTCAGCATGCTGGAGTGCTGGATTGCTTGAACTCTCACAGATTCCAACACCTATCATGGTTAGTGCATTGTAAGCCTGAGCCAGACTAAATGTTCTTGTATGGAATATGAGACTGGTACACTCCCATTATACACTGGTTATATCAATACCTGGCATTTACACATATTTATTCTTATTATATAAGATGCTATGACCCCAGAGACAATGTCTGCAACAGATAAAGCAAATTCAATTTTCATTATTGCTATTTCTATCTTAATTGGAATTATCAAAAGTGTGCTCTACCATAGGCAATTGCATCTTTGTTGACTCAGTGGAAGCCTTTCTAAGATGCTGATACAAATATATATTGTTATATGCATGCCACCAGCCTCCATGTCACTTCAACCAACCACAGATTTAATCACCAGTTCCACTGGACTCCATCTATTTCCCATTAACTACCAATTTCATTTTACCATTATCATTTCACATCCATATTTCATATTGTAGTATCTAGACTTCAAAAATGGTAGCAAACAATTGACTCCAGAACCCAACAGACTCTGACTTAGAATTAACTACCAATAGTATATAAACCATGTACAATCATTGTAACTACTCAGTTTGAATATCAACTTGGATAGCCATCTACACTTTATGCTCACTTTAGCTCCTCTCTATCTTGTCTGTTGGATTCTGCTCCAAAGAACATTCCTCTTCACTTCTCTGATGGAACTCTATTCTGTCAATCTAAATCCTTAGGCCTCAACTCAAGGGTGACATTGCCAATAGCTTCATTGATGCCCATGCACTCCACCAGTCTCTGCATATGCACTCAAGCCCACTCAATTGGCATGTTCCTAACAGTATATTTGAACTCAAACTCTTGAGTTGAAAAAGAAATTTTTTATTATGTCTATCACATTCATCCAACCCACAGAAGCTGACTCTGAACAAACTTGACCCAGCCATTCTAACATGTTCTCCATGGAAGACATTCTGGCCTCTGCCTCAAAAAAACAACCAGAACTCTTCAGATTGGCCTCTGGCAGAGGACAACCCTTCTGTAGGGAAACCTACACCCACTTTAGCTTCACTGCCTATCAACCAAATTATGACAATTTCCCTAACCCTTCTGATGCCATCAGCATCCCAACCAACAGAGCCCAACAGGCCAGCATGATGTATGGTGCCTGAAGTGATCCTCTGATAGATCTCTTATCCTTAAGCAATATACATGAGAATTCAGACAGCCCAGACTCAGAGAGCAGAGGTGAAGACACCTTTACTCATACTCTCATCCAATGGAAACCAGACAGTAATCCATCAAACCTCTTTCCAGAAGGGCCAGATAGACTAGGAGGACCAGATGGTCCCAATGGCCTCAGCAGCTCCAATGGCTCTGCAGAAAGCAATAACTCAAACCAGCAGAACATGTTCCTAGAATTCATAAACCTGCTATGAGGAGTCTCCACTTCTCACAATAACCTGAAGCCAGCCACTATCCACACCAAAGTCAAGAAGCCAGAACCCTTTGATGGCTCTGACTCTTACAAACTGAAGGCCTTCATTATCTCCCTTCAGTTGAACTTCAATGACAGATCTACTGTGTTCACAATGGACATTAACAAGATCAACTATGCAATCTCCTTTCTGGCTGGCACCACACTCAACTGGTTCAAACCAGACATTCTGAACTCCAATCCATAGAATCTGCCAGCCTGGCAATTCTTCTACATAGCCTTTTTGGATGAGCTTCATAGTGACTTCAGCCTCTTTGATGCTATTAGAGATGCTGAAGATGCATTAAAACACCTTCAGATATGTGATAGAGACCAGATCATAAAGTATATAGTCCAATTCAATCAGTATGTCTCACAAATTAGATACAGAGATAACTTTCTCTGCTCTGCTTTTTACTGTGATCTCTGCACTCACATCAAGGACAACATGGCCCACCATGGAAAGACATTTGTTTTGCATCTGAAAAATACTTGCATGGCAAGAAAGATGACTGTGCATAATATACCACAGCATAATAGAACGACTGAAAGGTATAATTGCATAGTCATTGAAAAGGTCAGAGCTATGCTGCATTTGAGCAACTTATCTTGCTTCTTATAGGCTGAGACTGTTCACTATGCTGTCTGAGTTCTCAACAGAACATCAATAGAGGCTCTAAATGGAATGACTCCTTATGAGGCTGTCACAGAGAAGAAGCCAGATCTAAAAGAGTTGTGGGAATGAGAAGAGAAGTGCTGAGTACATCTTGAGACTAAGGCTATAAAGCTGGATAGCCATGTATGTGAGGGTCAGTGGATTGAGTTCAATGAAATAAGCATTGGATCTTATGTCTACTGAACAGAGAGTAAAGTGGTGTTCACTGAGTAAAATGTCTACTTTGATGCAACTTGTATTGCTACTGATAATCTCAAAAGGGAGAAAGACATTGAGCTATATAAGATTCTATTAATGCCAGAAACTCAGTCTAATCTGCCTACTGTAAAGTCATCACAGGTGTCACTTACTCCTGAAGCTCAGCCTACAGTCCAACTCATAGTTGAAGAAACCTGTTCTGAATGTACTCAAAAGTCTAGCCAGTGGATGTTAGACCTCATCTCTGGCAAAGACAGTGTATTGGCACATCCAAGTAACCCTGTGGTATCTATCAGTGTTCAGTTATCAGCTATTAATGAAAACAATATATCTCTCAAGTTTAAGAGAGAGAGACAGATTGGTTAATAATATACTTGAGGATGCTAACTTCCTTGAGGAGTATGCTATGGCCATTTCAACATCCAATGCAGAAGCCTTAGAGCCATGCAGTTTAACTGAAGTGAAGCAACAGCCTGATTGGCCTTTGTGAGAAGATGCAATACAGAAAGAGCTTATAATGTTGAAGACTGCAGAGACTTGGGAGATTGTTAACAAACCAGTTGGAGCAAACATTGTGGGCTTGAAGTGGATCTTTTGAATCAAGAAGGATGCTGAGAGAAGCATAGTCAAGTTCAAAGCTCATTTAGTAGTGCAAGGATTCTTACAAGTACTTGGCATCAACTACTTTGACACTTATGCCTCTGCTGCAAGGCTTGCATCAATCTATTCTATCTTTGCTATAGCTGCAGCACTTGACCTAGAGCTCTATCAAGTTAATATCAATCAAAGGTGCATACTTGAATAAAAAGCTCCTCAATAAAGAAATCATCTATATGCATCAACCTTCTGGCTATTCTGAGTCTGGCTCTCATCCTGATCAAGTCTGTCATCTTATAAAGAATGTATGATTTAAAGCAGAGTAGTCATCACTGGCATCAATGTCTCATTGAGATTTTGGTGGTAAAGCTGAGATTTAAGCAGTGTGATATTGATCAAATCATGTGTTATACATATGCTATCAGTCTCCATACTACCTCAACCAATGATGAATTCAATCACAAGTCTCACTGGATTCTGCTGCTTCTCATTACCTATCAATTTCATTTTACCATTATCATTTCACATCTGTATTTCATATTCTAGTATCTAGACTCCAAACACAGTAGTGAACAGCTGACATCAGAATCCAACAGATCTCAACTCAGAATTAACTACTAATAGGATGTTAGGCTTTTACTAACACTCACAAATCTCTAGCACTGCTTCCACCAGAGTCTGATTCTAGATGCTGAGTCTGAGTCTGGTTTTGATATAGAAGTATAATGAGATAAGCTATAAGGATTTCATGGAGAGGGATGGAGAGTTGTAGCTGATAGATATAGTCTGTCATTGTGGCAAGAGTATTCACACCAGGTAGTCAGAGAGTGTAGTGGGTGTATTAAACCTTAGCTCAAGACTGGGGTACATCAGTGTGTACTACTGCCTTATATACTGTCTAAAGAACCCTATATCCTACAGATGACTATTGTCTGCTTTTCATGCCCTCTGCTCATTGTCTGGAATAACAATGACTGTGCCCCTGCTTTTGTTTGTTATTGTTACTCTGCTGTACCATCACTATAGTGAGTTTCCCATATGCCACAGTTTTCATTGTATTCAAGATGTAGAATGATGATGGTTACCATATTGTTTCTTATCACCTTATTATGCATTAATAAATAAGATGTAACTATAGTGTCATCATGTCTTCATCATCAAGCATTGGAAGGTCATGATTTAGAGGCAAAAATTATGATATTACCCTCTCTTCAAGGCAATCATCCTTGATTGCTCAGAGCAGCCCAGGAAAGAAAGATCATGCTTCATTCTTGCCATCAATTTCAGTGGAAATATCATTGGTGTGGTCAAAGAAATAAGGTTGATCAACAAAGGTTCCAGCAGCTAGATCATCTTCCTCTTGCTATATAAATAGCTTTTTGCATTCAAAGAGGGTTCAGTCTTTTCTGAAGAGCAATCATTACATATGGATATAGTCTGACTTGTCAAACATTGGTCAACCCAATGGGGCAAAGTTGACAGCTGCCAGAGAATTTTTACATGTCTGATATTTGGTGATAAGGGTCTTTGCATGTGGAAGGTCTTTTTCTGCA